ATCTCGTTCTTTCAGTCACTACCCAAAGCTCATGACCATAGGTGAGGGTAGGAACATAGATCGACCGGTAAATCGAGAGCTTCACCTTCTGACTCAGCTCTCTCTTCACCACGACAGACCGGTACAACGCCCGCATCACTGCAGATGCAGCACCAATCCGCCTATCGATCTCACCCCGGCTTTCCACAGGAGCCGTCAGCAGCAAGTTACTGCAGCAGCACGTCATAGCTGCTGATAGGAACCGCTGTGGTCAACGGAACCTTTTCCACTGGAGCCGTCAGCAGCACGAGTCGGCCGCGTCTCAGGAGCAGCATGTCGCGGCCTTTACGCGCCGGTTCTATTTTCTACGCGCAAACCCTCTGAAACGGGTCAAGTTCAACATTTTTGGGGAAGGAAAGACAGGAAATCGGACGCGGAAATGGAGACAAGCTCCCGAGATTTTCAGAATAAAGAACGTACTGCCTTCCGGTTGCTTTACTTTTAAAAATGGTTACTAACTGTGCGGCCCTGTGAGAAGTTATCACATAGCTAGCGGTCTCCTTTGTTTTTCAGGTCCGTATTAGCGATTATAAAACAGACAAAACATAAAACACAAACCATGTTGTAATTTTCTCCTGCTTGTTGTTGTGTTTACGGACGAAGTCACTCGTGTGACTTCGTGCTCTGTCGGTGACAGCTGCTCCCCTGCTGCTTCGCGTCTCATGGGAAGGGCCAAGCAGCAGCTTACGCGAGCAAGACGTGCTGCTGCAGTAACGTGCTGCTGACGGCTCCCGTGGAAACCCGGGGTCACGCTCCAGTTTCCCTCACTCGTGAACAAGACCCCGAGATACTTAAACTCCTCCACTTGGGGCAGGACCTCATCCCTGACCCGGAGAAGGCATTCTACCCTTTTCCGAATCAAGACCATGGTCTCAGATTTAGAGGAGCTGATTCTCATTCCAACTGCTTCACACTCTGCTGCGAACCGCTCCAGCGAAAGCTGTGGATCACGTTCTTATGAAGCCAACAGGACCACATCATCTGCAAAAAGTAAAGACCTGATCCTCAGGCCACCAAAATGGATGCCCTCCACACCTTGGCTGCGCCTAGAAATCTTGTCCATAAAGGTTATAAACAGAATCGGTGACAAAGGGCAGCCTTGGCGGAGTCCAACTCTCACTGGGAACAAGCCCGACTTACTGCTGGCAATGCGGACCAAGCTCTGACACAGGTCATACAGGGACCTAACAGCCCGTATCAGAAGGCCTGGCACCCCATACTCCTGGAGTACCCCCCACAGGGCCCCCCGAGGGACGCGGTAAAACGCCTTCTCCAAATCCACAAAACACTTGTACAATGGGGCAAAAAAGTATTTAGTCAGCCACCGATTGTGCAAGTTCTCCCACTTAAGATGATGACAGAGGTCAGTAATTTACATCATAGGTACACTTCAACTGTGAGAAACAGAATGTGAAAAAAAATCCATGAATTCACATGGCAGGATTTTTAAAGAATTTATTTGTAAATCAGGGTGGAAAATAAGTATTTGGTCACTTCAAACAAGGAAAATCTCTGGCTCTCACAGACCTGTAACGTCTTCTTTAAGAAGCTTTTCTGTCCTCCACTCGTTACCTGTATTAATGGCACCTGTTTGAACTCATTATCTGTATAAAAGACACCTGTCCACAGCCTCAAACAGTCAGACTCCAAACTCCACTATGGCCAAGACCAAAGAGCTTTCGAAGGACACCAGGAAAAGAATTGTAGACCTGCACCAGACTGGGAAGAGTGAATCTACAATAGGCAAGCAGCTTGGTGTGAAAAAAATCAACTGTGGGAGCAATTTTCAGAAAATGGAAGACATACAAGACCACTGATAATCTCCCTCGATCTGGGGCTCCACGCAAGATCTCATCCCGTGGGGTCAAAATGATCATGAGAACGGTGAGCAAGAATTGCAGAACCACACGGGGGGACCTGGTGAATGACCTGCAGAGAGCTGGGACCATAGTAACAAAGGTCACCATCAGTAACACACTACAATGGCAGGGAATCAAATGCTAGACGTGTTCCGCTGCTCAAGCCAGTGCATGTCCAGGCCCGTCTGAAGTTTGCCAGAGAGCACATGGATCTTACAGCAGAGGATTGGGAGAATGTCATGTGGTCAGATGAAACCAAAGTAGAACTTTTTGGTATAAACTCAACTAGTCGTGTTTGGAGGAAGAAGAATACTGAGTTGCATGCCAAGAACACCATACCTACTGTGAAGCATGGGAGTGGGAACATCATGCTTTGGGGCTGTTTTTCTGCTAAGGGGAAGGGACGACTGATCCGTGTTAAGGACAGAAAGAATGGGGCCATGTATCGTGAGATTCTGAGCCAAAACCTCCTTCCATCAGTGAGAGCTTTGAAGATGAAACGTGGCTGGGTCTTCCAACACGACAGTGATCCCAAACACACTGCCCGGGCAACAAAGGAGTGGCTCCGTAAGAAGCATTTGAAAGTCCTGGAGTGGCCTAGCCAGTCTCCAGACCTCAACGCCATAGAAAATCTGTGGAGGGAGTTGAAAGTCCGTGTTGCTCGGCGACAGCCCCAAAACATCACTGCTCTCGAGAAGATCTGCATGGAGGAATGGGCCAAAATACCAGCTACTGTGTGTGCAAAGACCTATAGTAATCGTTTGACCTCTGTTATTGCCAACAAAGGTTATGTTACAAAGTATTGAGTTGAATTTTTGTTATTGACCAAATACTTATTTTCCACCCTGATTTACAAATAAATTCTTTAAAAATCCTGTCATGTGAATTCATGGATTTTTTTTCACATTCTGTCTCTCACAGTTGAAGTGTACCTAAGATGTAAATTACTGACCTCTGCCATCATTTTAAGTGGGAGAACTTGCACAATCGGTGGCTGACTAAATACTTTTTTGCCCCATTGTATAAAATCAACATTGTTTTACTGAACAATCACACGATAATAAATCACAGTGCATTAAGTGCCAACCACAGCCCTAAGACATGTGTTGAACTTGCCCAAGTCCATACTTATGAGAGCACCATGTGAGTACCTGCGTGTCTACGTGCACTTGTATATGTAAGGTTTCTCTATAGGAGCGTCCAATAGAGAGTGTGAGGGGCCACAGATCTGACCCCCAGAGATGTGTCGGAGATGAAGGGAGCTCCAAGTCCGAGAGATCTAGGAGCTGCCCCAGAGCGCAGGGACCCCACGGAGACTGTAACCAGAAAAGCCCCAGCCCCCTCTCGAGAGGCGCAGAGGATTGCCCCAGAGGGTCACAACCAGCAGCCGGCAGAGTCCCGGGAGATATCAGCGGCAAAACGGCGTAAGCCTGCTGATGCCACCACACAACCTCACTTCCCCCCACTGCCCTCTGTGTCTAAGTGCAGTTTAAATTTTGAAGTGGGCACCGGCACTCAGGATGAGGCTGAAAGATCCCCATGCCAAATGCCGTTGAATGTGCTCACTCCCAAGGCCCTAAGTGTGTTTTTGCGTGGAATGTCAGTGGTGGAAGTGTTTAATGTGCAAATAAAATTGGGGGGCAGGCTGCCACAAGAATGTGGAAATGACATCCATACTTGCACCCCTGACTTGCCCACCCCCCAAGGTCCTATGTGCATGATTGTGTGATGATGTGAAGGAGCAGGAGGAGATAAATGTATGGGGACGGGGAGGAATGGCTGGTTGGCCTAAGCCTTCCAGGGAGCCAGCTCCCCCACTGGCCCCAATAGGCACCTCTGTTCCCAAAATGGCCCCAGCCCATCTCGCTAGGGCCCAAAGCAACAGCATCGCAGAGCCTTACGGAGTCCGTGGGCACCAACCCAACCCCACCCCAGCAGAATATCTCCTCCCATCCCTGCATTTCCTCAACTTCCAGAATATCTAAGACATGAGACATCCAGGTATGGTTGGGTCCTTCCCCTCCTGGACATCCCCCTCCCCGGTGATGGGAAAGAGTTGTTATTATTTCAGAGGAGCCAAGGTCCACCTGAGGCCCCTGAGCCTGGGCCATGCATGTTCCTGCCTTCTTCCCAGCAGCATACAAGTCAGGACCCCGTCCCCAAGGCCCCGCCCAGATCCCCACACGGGGCCTGCCGCCCCCCACACCCCGAGCCCCCAGGGCCCCATTCAGGAGCAATGCAGCCACCCGGCAGCAACCCATGGCCACCGCCGAGATCCCCCAAGGGGCCCCACTCACAACCACCAGTAGTCCTTCCCCCAAATAGTAAATGGCCTGTATTTGATATAGCGCCTTATAGCGTCCTGGAACCCCACAAGGCGCTTTACATCAAAATCAGTCATTCATCCATTCACACACACACATTCACACCCTGGTGGGGATGAGCTACGATGTAACCACAGCTGCCCTGGGGTGCTTTAACAGAGGCGAGGCTGCCAAGCACTGGCGCCACTGGTCCCTCCAACCACCACCAGCAGGCAACGTGGGTTAAGTGTCTTGCCCAAGGACACGGCGACAGACTGAGCGGGGCTCAAACCTGCAACCTTTCAATTATGGGGCGAGCACTTAACTCCTGTGCCACCATCGCCCACAGCAACCCAAGCACCTCCAGAGCGGGGCAGCAGCCGCCCAGCCCCAGACACACCCAGTGAACCCCCCTCCAGGGAATGTCTGGATACTCCAAACTCAAGACCCTCCACCCCATCACCCACATCCTCCCGCAGGACAATATTAATGACCCCCCATCATCGCTATGTGATGGAACCGATCAAAGGAGCCCAGAGAGATTGACTTGAAGTGGAAGCAGAGGCTGTCTCAAGTGTAATATGATCTAACAGAAGATTTCTATACTGGTTGATGCAAAGAGTATCTCTATTTTTCCAATTCATGAGGATAGTTTTCTTAGCGATGCATATGGCAGTCAGAACCACGCGAACCAAAGATGTTTCAATTGGGACATCGTCCAGGTTTCCCAGCAAACAAAGAGAGGGGGAAGTTGGGATATGACATTTAAGACACTTTGACAGGTCTTCACATACTCTACCCCAAAGACTTGTACCTTTTTACCGAGATGGAACGGAACCACAGGGTCGTCCTCGGCATGTAGAATCAGAACCGGACAGGAGATGTGGTTCACACTGGAAACAGACAAAAAGGTTTTTGTGGTGCCAACACAAGGACAGACAGACTTCCTTCTGGACATTAAAGTGTAACAAACAGAACCCAGATCAGTCTGACGTGTATCAGCGCAAAGACAAACTGGATCAGAACCAGAGGATGTCTGTGGTTTCCACCAAAATGGGAAGTGGACTCACTGGTACCTACTTCTCATCGCTGGTGAAGCAGATGTTGTTGGCACTGATGGAATCCAGAAAGAACCAGTCAAACCCAGGAAGGAACCGGTACACCTGTAACACAGACACAAATGACCCAACAGAAGGGGTAAGGCTGAAGGTAGGGGGTGGAGCTTTTAGTTACCATGGAGAAGGGGTGGCTCTTGGCTTCCTCCCTGATGTTTGTGAAGGGAGACTCTAAGACCAGAGCGTCAGGAGGACTTCCTGTAGCGGGAGGAATTGGATCACGTTCTACCAGGTTCTGATGAAGAACATTCAAAGAACCTGTGTGTGTGTGTGTCTAACCTCGGTCACACAGACGCTTCACCAGATTTGTGCCGACACTGTAAAAAACAAAATTCTAACGTAATCCAAAAATGATTTAGAACACAGATTACCTTAAACGTGTGTGTGTTACCCTGTCCCCAGGGAGTGTCCCCAAATGTAAAGCGGTAAAGATTTCCCCATCTGCTGTTTCAGCCAATCATAAATGAACAAAGCATCATCTGTCATCGCTCCTTCAGACGGGTATCCATCTGAATCTCCCCAGCCTGCTCTCTCACACACACACACACACACACACACACACACACACACACACACACACACACACACACACACACACACACACACACACACACACACACACACACACACACACACACACACACACACACACACACACACACACACACGTCATAGGCCAGCAGCAGGAGTGTGTCCAGCTGTCCTCAGACCCAGGTCTCACCTCTGTAATCAAACGCCACCACATGGTAACCCAATGAACTGAGAACCTGAAGAAAGACAACCACAGAGATGTGTCAGGTGGTATCTCACAGCCAATCAGGTCAGGTTCTGGATGATGAACTATTGAATGATCGGTTGGAACCTCCACCTTGTACAGTTGCACCCGGTGGTCTCCTCCTCTGGTCCCTGAGTTTCCATGAAGATACAGAATGACAGGGTGGGTGGAGCTAAACATGGATTTGAACCAGTCTCCATCTTTACCTTGAGAGTCTCTCCACATGTGGGCTGGAACCGTGTGCCTGAAGGAGACAGAAGACGGGTTCCTGTGCTTTTATGATTGTGTGCTAGTCTATAATATAGATCTAGACAGACCAGACGCAGCAAAGGGTCTAGCCACGCTCCACAGGAGCCTCAGCAGGTCTTCCACTGGCCAGATTGGTTTTGTGTTATGCCAGTCACATAGCTCTTGGTTTGGTGGGCTGGATGATGTAACAGAGTGGGACAACAAAGATGGCGGCGGTTCATTTGAAACAGCTTGGGCATCAACTCTGGACTATTAAGACCTGGGGTTTTCTTTGAGTGATGAGCAGATAGAGGTTCTGAAGTTTATTTAGATAATAACGTATCTGTGTCTTCTCCAACAGCGTAGGGTGGACCGCCCCGCTGACTGTAGTGGTGAGAATGTCACGTTGTTCGTAGAACGTGGAGACAGTTTGGAAGACAACCGTACATTTTACCCCACGACTGAGCTGCGTCCATGGGTCATGGCCTGACTAGGGGTGTTTCTCAATTTCAAGGCGCCTTGATACAAGGTTACTGTCCTTCCTTGGTCAAAGAAAACTGCTAAATGGAACAGACTTAGGTCACGTGACCGCGGCTTCCACGGCAATCTTGTGACACGGGAGATAACGGCCCTGTTCGAGATGAGCCAGTTCTGCTCAGATTAGATCAGCGGCCATCCACTGATAATTCCATTTTCTAAGTGGTTTTTAAAATATCTTCTACAACCCAGCAAAGATTCTGCAGTGCTTGCTGACATTCCATGGGGACAACATGTCAGTCTATGATGCCAAACAAAGTTTTCTTTTGATAAGACTGCAGGATTGCACACTCTCATAAAGAATGAACTTTTATAATAATGAATACTGACTGATGAAATACGTAAATAATCATATAAGTATGAACAAGGTGTTAAATTAAATATTTTGATCTGTGCCAAAATAATAAGGCTGAAATGAGTATGTCCTTTGTAGGGACAGCATATGTGTTATTTGGGTGCTTTTAAAGCTTGATATACTACACTACACTTTGACCAATGTGATGTGAATTTCGATATAAATATGGAAATCCAGTCTGATTGGTCTTTGAATGTTTAACCAGAAGATTTAGAATTCTTTGTTTATTCAGGGATTGTCAGACACTTCCTATTAATTCAAGAAGAGAGTCAAGTTTATAAAAAGTAAGAAATTTATTTTCTAGACAATTAAAACGTGACAACCAGGACACTTTGTGATGCATGAATCTAAGTGGATGGAATGTGAAGTGTGATGATGTGTGAATATGAGGTTATCAGAACCTTCGTCTCTGAAGAAACTGAGTTCTGTGTGGGAGTGAATTTGGCTTGCTGTAACCTATAATGACGGTTTATAAAACCACATCAGACACAATCTGTCGAGTCTATGTACCCTTATCTGAGACGCTCTTTGGATCCGAGATGTCGGGGAGTCGGTGGACCCCATGGTACCGAAGTCCGTAGAGAAACCGCAGTACGACCAGGTCAGTCCAGAATCTTCTCCAGGTCACGACAAACAGGTGGACTTGTTTTCCGTCTTAGGAATAACTCTTAAGATGTTGAAGCTGGTTCAGCTTTATTCTGAAGGAACTGTTTGCGGTCAGCTGTAGCATGCAACAGGTTTTAGACAGCTTGTCAAAAGATGCTCTGTGTTAAAGAGGTTTTGCTCCGGATGGCCGGTCCGAAGCTTTCTCAAGAACTGACTCTCGGTGAAGTGAGCTCTGTTTTAATGATCGCCATATTGTGATTTACTAACAAATCAGAATTTGACATGTAAAAAGGGTTTTACCAACAAACCTCAGAAAACACACCTTGTGTCAGATACAGGGGTTCTGATTGGTGGACCAGAAAGCAATGTGTCATATTAGTTTAACCTTGTCATCGTCACGTGTCTGAGTGTGTGCAGGGGCATGTCCAGGGGGTGGCCTGGGGTAGCACATGCCACCCTTGGAATCTAATTGGCCACCCCAGGTGCCACCCCACTAATTTACCTTTAAATGAGCTTTTCATTGTCCACAAAAGGCTTGGGGGTAAAACAACAAAAAGCAAAACCATTGGTGCCACCCATGCACAAAGTTGTGCCTCACCTGGGCCACCCCATTTTAAAAGATCTGGACACGCCACTGAGTGTGTGAGCTGTCAGTAGATAGTGATTCACTTGTTAAATCTAACTTTACTCATCATAACATAATAATAATTTCAACCACAGTAATTTAAGCACATATTAATCAAAACATTATTATTCTTCAACCAATATTGCACATTCAACCATTTGATTATTTACTCCTTTTGTTCATTATATGATTCAATTATGAAAGTTCATCCGTCTTGTCCTGTGAAGCGAAGCAGTCTTAGATAAGAGGGAGCTTGCGAGGGACCTTGGGCAAGCACGGTATCTTTCTTGCAGATTAAAGCCCCAGTTAAGACTTATGTCTCCATGTGACCCAATGCTGAAGAGGTCGACCTGTAGATGGAAAAGCAGACAATTTCTGGAGGCTACACCTTGCAATGATCCATTTGTTTTATAATCAGTCTACTTGACAAGCTCACACACACACGTGCATATCTCCACAAGCATACAGTAAAAGTCAAGACACAAAGAGATTTTCTTATCCACAAATCAGAGCATCTTTTATCTGAAGAAGGAATGTTTCTGAGCTTTGTTTGGTAAAACCTCCTTAACAAGGCACAATGTGATTGTACCATGGATGCTAATGACTGTAAAGACATACCGGTTTTTCTCCTTGAAGCATCAACATGTTCCATCTTTGTTGAAACACCTTCCTTCTGCATCAAGCTTTCTCTTCCTGGACATTTTATGATAATTTGTGGATAATTATTTTCTCTTGTTGCATTAATTTAACACGAATGTGGATACACTGCGACCTAGTGGAGAAATACTGTCACTGCACTACTAACACAATCGCCATGCATTATGGGAAATGTAGTTTATAGCCAATGTAGAATTTCAAGCAGCATAGACCTATTTTAAGACACTTGGGTGCTCTCGCGGACCACATAAAATGATGTGGAGGGCCACATCTGGCCTGCGGGTTTTGTGTATGACACATGCTCTAGTTCAGGGGTGTCAAACTCAAACTCACACGGGGCCGAAATGAAACTCTGGGACGGAGTCGAGGGCCAAACTTAATATTTTTTGAAAAAGTGACGGCAAATTTGCACATTTTCTTTATCAACATGTATGCAATTTTGAACCTTTAAATTTGGAAACAAACATATTTCTGCATTAACACTGAATGTGGAATAACCAAATTACACACGAGCAAGTCAGTTTTAAATAAAAGGCATCAGTGGTATTCATTACTTGTGGTATAATCAGCATTTTTAAAATCTATTCAGGATTTATGTTTTCTTGTTTATTCATTTTTCTTATTTTTTATTCTCCTTTTTTCTCCTGTAATAAGTGTCATGACTGCTGTGACATCTAGCTTTCCCCACTGAGGAACAATAAAGGGATTTTCTATTCTATTCATCTATGTGCAGCCTTTCCACTTCCTGTTTACTGTAGGTTAAATCTTTTCTCACGTGCCAACAACAAAATAAAAGTATTATTTTATCTTAAATGAAAATGCAACATCTCACCTGTTAACTTTCATGTTTTGGAGCAGAAAAAGAGCATAAAACCAACATATTTAAAGCTCAGTTTGCTCCACTGGTTTACTGTGATGCTCACCTGTTCCAGCCAGATACCTGCATCATGGGGTTGATCTGAGCTGAGGAGGATACTCCTGTTGTTTTGTTCATCTTCATCATGATAATGACAACATTAGATGACAACAGATGCTCACATAGGTTTGTGCTGATGAACATGTCTGAGCAGCTTGACCACGTTGTTGTGTGTCGGGGAGGAAACACAACGACAGCGACCACAGAGTCATGCTGATTTGAGCGTGTCGCTGCTCGCTGGAGTTATATCGGCTCTGTCTGGACGTTATTTGGAAAACTTTCTCTTTCAGTCGTGAACACATTACTGAGCGGCTAGAATCTCCGTTTCTGGGCTTCAACGTCAGAAAACAGCTGAGTGAACTCGGCGCTGAGTGAACTCGGCGCTGAGTGCGACGAGTGTTTAGTTTGTCCGAGACAGCGGAGCTGCAGACACCGGCAGCAGGCGCTGGAAAAAACACAAAGGAGGGGGCGCGTCGGCTCCGCGCTAACGCCGCAAAGCATCATGGGAGTTGAAGTCTTTGCGGTAAAATCGGCCAGCGGGCCAGTTTTAATATATTTTTGATATTTATCTCGCGGGCCACATAACAATGCTCCGCGGGCCTTGAGTCTGACATATGTGCTCTAGTTTATAGCAGACCAAATTCTTTTACAATCAGAACTCACAGGTTCTTCCAGATACAAAAGTTCTGATAAATATCACATGCCATCCACACAAATACATCCATCACATATCGTTATTCATAACTTGTAATGAATTATAATTAGTCTAGAAAATAAAGTTTATTTTCAATTATATCCTTGACTCTGTCTGAATTAATAAGAAGTGTGTTTATGGTCACTGAATAAGCAAAGAATCCTAAATTTTTCTGGTTAAACATTCAAAGATAAATCAGGTTGATATTCTATATTTATATAGAATCATCACATTTTATTGGTCATAGTTTAACCCCTCAATTTCACTACATATGCACATGTCTACAATATCAGTGTTTCCCTTACATAGGTGTAGCCGTGGCGGCCTGCCACAACTGAAATCCCAGCGCCACGCCTACAAGATCCCAAGTTTTATTTTTTATTTTTTTGCGCTGTTTACCGAAGAAGCAGCGGGAGCTACTCTGTTGTTGCTTATGATCACAGCCGGCAGGCAGCATGGAGGAGGAGGAGGCAGGGCAGGGTGGTTACAGCATACGTTACCGAGTTCAAATTAGAAAGGTAGCAGTGGACATAATGCTTTTTGGTTTACATGTTTCAATAGCATTAAGACAGATGAGTGTTGATGATCTTGGCAGGGTTCCCCCCAGTGCTCATTAGCCTGGCGGC